TCAGCACAGCTCTAGAGAAAGTTTTTTTACTTAAGTATTAATGTTAAACATAAAGCATGTTTTCCCACAATCCCCTCTAGAAACAGCCAACAGACTAAACTATTCTTTCTAGGATTCAGTAAAACACTATTTGAAACAAATTACCAGCTGCTTGCATGTCTTTTGAATGTTCAAGTTAAGTGGTCACTTTCTGGCCTCTGGACCTACACATAAAAATAAACTGATCTCACCATCCTGGAGACCTATGCCCACCTGTTCTTAAAATAACTATTTCATTTTCCCACAGTAATGTTTTACCACCCTAAAACACTCATATTATAAATGAGACTAGAATGGAAGAAAAAGGTTTTCCCAAATCCCAAAGTACCCACTTAAAGGTGACAAGCCTTTTTATGGATAGTGAAAATTCTTTTATCTAACCCTGGATGAAACAGTAACAACCAACATACAGTATACAGAGCCCTACTTTATCTCACAATATCTTTACAACAACTCTGTAAGACAGGATTGTATCAAACCCACTTTATAGATGAAAAGGCATGCCATAAAAACCGACGAGGGAGGAAATCAAATCCCGGTCTGTAGGAATCCAATGACTACGCTCAAAGTCCGTGTACACGGCAAGTGCTCAAGTAACATTTGCTGGCTACAAAGTTTAAGAAAAGACTTGACATGGCCCTGGGCTCACTGCCGGAGTGCTTTGGTGATATGGAGCATAAAAGGTAAACTTCGGCAACTCGGGGGTCGGGAGAGGGCCTCACCGAGGTCCAGCTACCGAAGCCCCTGCCGTCTCCAGCCTGGGGTCGGTCTGCGCCGCCGGGGCCGGGCCAAGCCGGGAGCCGTGAGTGCCCGGTCCGGGACGGACCTGGAGCCGCACCCCTCACAGGCACCACCCTCAGCGACCCTAGGCCGTGCAGCTACAGCGGTCCGGCCGGACGGCAGCCATCCGCGCCTAGTCCACACACAGCTTTCGCCCCGCAGCCACCCGCCTCACCTGCGTGTCCGCCGCCATCCTGCCGGCGCTGACTCCGGAACCGCTTCCGGATTGCTTCCGGGTCACAGCAGAGCCCACGCGGCAGGGCGAGGCCAAAAGCCCGCTGGGACTGGCCTGAGGCCTGGCGCCCCCGGGCGGGACGGCGGCCGCTGCAGCCTGGACAGCTGGATCACGGGCCTGACGCTGGCCCGCGCCCGGGCGGACCTGGGCCTTCTTCCCAGAGCCAGCTCTTCAGCCCTGGGCGCCTCGCGGGAGACGAGCGTCTGAGGATTTGCAGCTGGAGAGTCAGGCCTGCAGCATCCGACCCACTTCCAGCCTGCAGGTCCCGCCCACGGCGGCCTTTCCAAAGTGAAAACATTCTATTGTTGCTTCCTAGATGGCAAGAACTAGGTGAAAAAGGGATGACAAACTAGTCTTTTGCCTTCAAAAAAAAAACTGGGATATGGCAGATTTTATAAAGATGGAGGAAGTCAGGGAGGGATTCTGTAGCTTAAGGAAGCCCCTGCCCAGGGGAAATGCTAGACGCTCCGGGTAGGTTAAGGCCACAAAATGGGAGGAACCTCATGGTCTACATAACGTTGTGGGAGTGTGATTGCAGTTTAAAGAAGGGTCTCCATAGCCTAGTTGTTGGCCCTCTGCAGTGACTTTCAAAATTTTCTTTGAAAAAAAAGGGACTAAGGCGCCTGCCACAACACCCAGCTAGTTTTTTCTTTTTTAGTAGAGACCTGGTCTCACTCTTGCTCAAGCTGGTCTGGAACGCCTGAGCTCAAGCTATCCACCTGTTTTCACCTCCCAGTGTGGTTTACAGGCATGAGCCACTGCCACTGGCCACTTTTAAACTTTTGATAGAGACCTGCTTAACAATTATGACTCAGCATGCAGATCTGTAATAAATTATAAGCCTCACAAAAAATCTACCCTTTCAGCAATCAGATGTTGCTTTCCTTTAAATACTGGCTACCACCTACTCATGAGTTATAACATCACCCAGCCTGAAAAGCCTTGCTCTATGAGACTAACCCCTGGCATTCAGCCTATCTCAACTGACACAACCTTAGTGTTACTGGCTGAATGACCATAGAAACAAGTATTTTAATACACTTAAAGTTGCAACTACTTTCACTTCGATACAAAGAAGCCACTGAAATGTCAACCATGGCATTTCAATTTCTAGCATATAACACTATAAACCTCAAAATGAACCACTGTAGAGCCCAGAAACTTTTAACAGAAGCCTTTATTTGCCTGTTCTGAAAATAAAGCTGGCTGAGTTTCCTCTTTTTGGTGATTAGTCAAAGAGACCAAATCCCATATCCTCGTCTGACTCCTCTGACTCTTCTTTGGTTTCAACCTTGGCTGGGGCTGCAGTGGCAGCAGGAGCAGCAGTGGTGGTGGCAGCCACAGGGGCAGCAGCCACAAAGGCAGATGGATCAGCCAAGAAGGCCTTGACCTGAACCAAGAGTAAGATTAGTTAGCGATCAAAAAGGACATCCAAACCCACCTACCTTTTAGAGTCTGACCAACATGTCCAACCCAATAAAGGCTTTCCTGTCAGGAAGTGACTCTGGAAGGAGAGCTTGGGTACAGCCAAATAAAAAAGGTGACCCCGTAAGGCCCAGCTCTTATCCATTAACCCCTCACTGGGTCTTGGTTGTTTCTAAGTAATTACACACCTACCTTGCCCTGTATCCTCTCAAGTATACTCAAGAAATGTTATCTGCTATAAAATAAGATCACTAAAACTATTAACTGAGCAGACTACCTTTGTCACCCTATTTTAGACCCACCATGGTCCTTACAGGATCTTTTTTACCTTTTCAGCAAGTGGGAAGGTATAATCAGTCTCCACAGACAAAGCCAGCACTCTCTTATAACCATTGATGATAGAATGGGGTACTGATGCAACAGTTGGGTAACCAATCTGCAGACAAACACTGGCAACATTGCGGACACCCTGTAAGGGAAGATTCATTTTGAGTGAGATACCCTAGAGAAATAATGGTGAACATCCAAGCAAAACTCAGTGAAGAGTTAGCAGCTCAGTCTCAAAGGAGACATTTCACTTCACACCAAATGCTCCCAGCAGGACAATTCAGACCCATCAATTGGTATCAAGCTTTTTGCCCGTATCCCAAACCTGGGTGATCCACATAACATAATGATAGCATTTACTTCAAAAGCCACTGCTACTTCACAAAAAAAATAAATTATTAACATAGCTATCAAGCCAGGCATAGTGGATTACACTTGTAATCCCAGCACTCTAGGAGGCAGATGCAAGTAGATCACTTGAGCTCAGGAATTCGAGACCAGCCTGAGCAAGAGCCAGACCCCATCTGTAAAAATATAGCTGGGTGTAGGCCAAGCACGGAGGCTCACACCTATAAAGCACTCTGGGAGGCTAAGGCAGGGAGAGTGCGTAAGCTCATGAGTTCAAGACCAGATTGAGTCAGAGCGTGACCTCATCTCTAAAAAAGAAAAAAAAGTCGGCTGTTGCCTGTAGTCCCAGCTGCTCAGGAAGGCGGCTGAGGCAAGAGAATCATTTAAGCCCAAAGAGTTTGGGGTTGCTGTAAGCTATGATACCACTGCACTCTACGAGAGTGACAAAATGAGACTGTCTCAAAAAACACCCCCAAAACAAAAAACATAAATATCAAGTTACACGAAAGAAAAATGTTAAACTATTTCCAGATACAAATTTCCATCCACTAGTGAATCTTCCCAAAAGTAAATGGAGCTACTTAAATAATTTCAATTTTTTATTTTTCCAAGAGAAAAAGAATACATCTCCTATCACTATTAATGCATTATTTAAAAGGAATCTTTATTTATTTATATACTCTTGCACTTAAGTGATTTTCTTGCCTCAGCCTCCCAAGTAGCTGGGACTGCAGGCACCCGCCATGACACGACACTACTTTTTTTTTTTTTTGTCACAGTTGTCATTGTTGTTTAGCTGGCCCTGGCCAGGTTTGAACCTGCCAGCCTTAGTGCATGTGGCCAACACCATAACCACTATGCTAAGGGTACTGAGCCATTAAAAAGAATCTTAATGGCTTAGCACCTGTGGCTTAAGTGGCTAAGGCACTAGCCACATATACCTAAGGTGGCAGGTTCGAATCCAGCCCGGGCCCGCCAAACGACAGCTACAACCAAAAAAAAAAATAGCCAGGCGTTGTGGCAGGCGCCTGTGGTCCCAGCTACTTGGGAGGCTGAGGCAGGAGACTCGCTTGAGCCCAGGAGTTGGAGGTTGCTGTGAGCTGTGATGCCACAGCACTCTACCCAGGAGGGTAGAATGCTCTGTCTCAAAAAAAAAAATCTTCTTGGCAAAATTAAGTAAGATAGACTCAAAAAAGTAGTCCTCCGAAGAAAAGATACTTGGGGATGTTATGTCAACCAGTATTCAACTCTCGTTTTATTTCTTTTTTCACTTAAGGTACTACTCATGTCTTTTATTGTTGCAGGCCCTAGACTAACAGCCCTTACTACATGCCAAGCACTCTTCTAGTATTTCACTCGTTAATTTGTTAAATCCTCCGATAATCTTATATCGTTATTGCCAGTTTACAGAAATAGAAATATAATGGTCCTTGGTTACACAGCTACTTTAAGCAGTATAGACAGGACTCAACTGACACTTAGGGGATGCGATGGATAGTATGTACCTCCAGGAAGCGAGTATGCAGAGTTTCCTCTGTAATGTCAAGCACTTCAGGGTTGTAGATGCTACCATTGTCAAACACCTGCTGAATGACCAGCCCAAAGGAGAAGGGGGAGATATTCAGCATGTTCAGCAGTGTAGCTTCACTGGCTCCCACTTTGTCTCCAGTTTTAATCAGCTGCACATCACTCTGAAGAACAAGGCAACAATAGTAAGCAGTTAACACTAGGGCATCCAGCAGACCTCTGGCCTCTAATAATTTTGCCCTACTTGCCTAGCTAGCACAGTGAAATAAGGTCCACTCACCAAGATTTCAATGGTGCCCCTGGAGATTTTAGTAGTGATACCTAAAGCCTGGAAGAAGGAGGTCTTTTCTGGCCCCAGACCAGTGTTCTGGGCTGGTACGGTGACTTCACATGGGGCAATGGCACCAGCACGGGCAGCAGCCGGCACCTGAACAAAGACAATGAGCAGTGAAGAAAGTCTCTTTACTGGTACAACCCAAGAATGATCAATTTTGCCTTAAAGAACCACAATAAGGTCACTTTAGTCAACCTAATTCTCCTCTTACCTTATTGGCCAGCAGCATGTCCCTGATCTCAGTGAGGTCCTCCTTGGTGAACACAAAGCCCACATTTCCCCGGATATGAGGCAACAGTCTGCAAAGAAAGTTTACAGGACACGATCACCTTTCAAACACCATCCTTCTCCAGGAAAAGGGAGAAGGGTACTAGAAAGGGAGGAAAAAACTGCCCAGGAAAGTGCCTAACTTCTCCAGAGCTGGGTTGTTTTCCAGATGTCCTCGGATGGCCTTGCGCATCATGGTATTCTTGCCCATCAGCACCACAGCCTTCCCTCGAAGGGACATACGGATCTGCTGCATCTGCTTGGAGCCCACGTTGTCTGCTCCCACAATGAAGCATTTTGGATAATCATCCAAAAGTTGCTACAGAAACAATCAAAGTTGGGCAAGAGTAAAATAAGAATTAAATGCTAGGCACTGGCTTCCCTGACTCCTTTTCTTCTATGTTTTGAAGTCAACTAGGAGCCATTTCAATTCTAACACTGTCAGAATAAATCATGATTTCCTTACTGGGTGTTAACAGTGAAAAATTCATTTCTAACTCACTCAAAAAACTTTTTAAAATTTATTATTTTTCCCAATTATGAGGCATATCTCCCATTCACTAAAATGGCTGCATTAACACAAAAAACAAGAACTGTTCCAAATAAAGTGGTCAAGGGAAGAACTAGATTTATAGCACTTAAAACACAACATAAAATATAACAA